CGATGCCAGGAGCCCCTAGTAGCGTCCTTGCTCCTAGCAGCGATGCCGGGAGCCCCTAGTAGCGTCCTTGCTCCTAGCAGCGATGCCAGGAGCTAGCGTCCTTGCACCTAGTAGCGATCCCAGGAGCACCTAGTAGCGTCCTTGCTCCTAGTCGCGATGCCATCAGCACCTAGTAGCGTCCTTGCTCCTAGTAGCGATGCCAGGAGCACCTAGTAGCGTCCTTGCTCCTAGTGGCGATGCCAGGAGCACCTAGTCCTTGCTCCTAGTAGCGATGCCAGGAGCACCTAGTAGCGTCCTTGCTCCTAGTAGCGATGCCAGGAGCACCCAGTAGCGTCCTTGCTCCTAGTAGCGATGCCAGAGGCGTCTAGGCCCAAGCCTTCGCGAGGCGCGGCTGTTGCCCCCACTTGCTAGTGGGGGTACGGATTGGGCCATGAAAGCCCACGGTGGGGCGTGCAATGGTATCATCCGCCACCTGTTTCATGCGGAGACTCGGCGGCGTGCCGATTCCAAAGAAGACCTCTTACCACACCTGGTCTTACATCGACATCGTGACTTTGCAGTGGTTGAGTGCGTAAAGACAGATGGTACCAAGTGCATCTTGAAGGTGTCTCATTCAGTTCTTGCCTGCGTGAACACTTTTGAGTCTTCGCGGATGTATACCTGGAAGATTGGAGGATGTCTTCAGATGGGTATCGTTCGACCTGCCGACACTCAGGTGCTGCCGGATCCGTTTTTGATGCACGATCAACCAAAAATACCTCCTGGCTGCACTGATCCGTTTTATCGACCGATTCCGGAGACCTTCGAGCCATGGGCACAAGATTATGCCCGCTCAGAGTCGGTAACAGGTTTCGGGCTTATCCAAGAAGACACTGCATTGTGGGAACCCTGGTGCTGGAGATTTGTCAACATACAATCGGCTAGCACACAGACGACCTGCAAGCACCAGGCCCATTCTGGCGATGCTGACAGTTTTTCAACAGTCTCAGACGAAGACATCTCGTCTACGCAAAACGGTCAGACCTCAGTGAACTCTCCGACTTTATCTCCAACACGCACGTTCAACCCTGATGTGACACTTCTGTCACACCATGACGTTGGGGGAGCACAGGTTTTCCCACAGGAAGATCCATTTCTAATGATGGAGCCATGGGCCTATGCATATGCGCCGCATGACATGAATGGTAGTACTCTCATGGATGTCAACGAAGACCAGTATTTTGAACCATGGAGCGCGCATTTTATATCCTCAGAGATGCGTGCTGAACAGGCCGATCCTGGTCTTTTGTCGTCAGATCACTCCATGCAACCAGGGTGTCAATACACCCTTTCGCACCGTGTCTCAACATGGTTCAAGGCAATTTTCACGTCCATGCCAACGGGGTCGTGTTCAGACGGTTTGAAGTCGTGCTTCACATCATACCCCATAAACACGAAGCCCTGTTGGGAAGATGTGTCAGGTCTACACCCGCCTCTCTGTGCAAGGTTTGAGTCCTTCCCTGGTCAGTTTGGGGACAAGCAAGGAAGACAACATGAGTATACCCAAACGACTGACCCTGATATTGCAATTTTGTCTGAGACTTCATTCCATGTGCCACCAGATGCGCCACTAATGAACACAAGAGTCTCTCTAATTCGAGAGGGTCATTTTGGCCCGCCACAGCATGCCGACCGTCAAGACTTAATTCATCAGGCCACCCGTGTTGACGTTCCTACTACGTCTATCTTCGCATCAGCTTTTCATCGCTGGACAGCATTTCAAGCAAGTTGTACAGTTCGTTTGACAACTGTACGAGATGTCATCATTCCTCCTTGTTTGCCACTGTTCCAGCAATTGCATCCAACTTGTGTTGGTCAACACGAGATTGTATCGCAACGCACTAATACCAACCGTGATGTAACGAATGCTTTTGAGATTCAAACACCAGAGTACATCAGACCAACTATGGCAGATTTGTTAGGCCAATCAAGATCCGTACTTGTGACTTGGCATACAGGTTTTTGCCATAAGAATGACCCAGGTCGAATCGCCCCCGTTCCACTATATCAAAACATCAATAGTGGGGCTGTACTTGATTTTGCAATCTCACACAATCAGAACGCAGAGAATTTTGACAGTGTGACTCCAGCGACATACGAGAGCATTGATTGGCCTCGGCAATATTTTGGATATCGTGTTCCAAGACCTTCCGTGATTTTCTCTTATGGTCTTACAGGCTTTCAGTCTTTTCTGTCAGGACAAATGACATCGGACCTCGAATTTGAGTCACCAACTGAACCCCTAAGGGAAGAGCGTCAGCAACTCCTTGCTCTTCAACATCAGAATAGTGATGTTTTGGGTATGGTACAAACTTCATCTGAAGTGACTGACAATCCCTGCAGATGTCCTACACACCAACAAGCTGACCTTTCGATCATCAGTCGAAATGATTCCGACATCTTTGCAAGTGCCTCCCATTACAACAGGTCTACCACACCGTTTGAGAGGGAATTCCCTATTCCCTTCACTGAGGAGGAGATACAGGTCCACAAAAGTCCTGTCAGCAATGCCATACACGCGGAGCAGTCTACCCGTTTGATTTTTGACTGGGCCAGCACGGGAGCACGATTCGTATGTAACGGAGCAAAGTCCATGGGTAGCTCGTCCTACTTCAAGGAGAGCTACACTCAAATTTGCCAGAACAGATCTATCTTTGCGAATGACACTCGACAAGACCTACAGGGAGGTATTACTCCTATTTTTTCTGCCCATGTGTGGCCTCACAGTTCAGAATCGATCCTACTTGACCATTTGGAACTGTATATCAGCTGTCAATCAGATTGGAAGGAATCTGTTGCAAATGCAATTGGTGTCACCAGTCATGCGCAAGCTCTACCGCATCTTACCATATCAAGTGGGGCTGTACCCATTAACAACCGTGGCACTATGGATTTTTTCCTCACAAGCGATTATATACCAACTTTTTCAACACTACAGGCAGACATCTTGATTCCGAAGCAGACTCTTCCACCTCCAAAGCGTATTACCACATGCAGTGGGGCTGTACCCTGTATCTACCACAATGCAGATGGCCGACTCCCCTGCGAAGAGAAAGTTGTTACAGATGGTGTGACTTTTTCAAACAATTTTGCTCAGCCTACAGTTCATGATCTCATCCAGATGTTAATGTCACTACGCTCTGCTCCATTGGAGCCCTATGTTTCGATCCCAGCTCATCTTACAGTGGAGACATATTTTCAGCTGGACGCACGTTTCGATGACAATGTTTTTTGTTTCTCCAGCCAGTTTTTCCATGAAGAATGTCATCGACCACGACAGTCTACCATATCAAGTGGGGCTGTACCCAGTGGCAACCGCAGAATCTCAGATGGACACCACTCTTTGTTTAGAGACCTCGATCCTCTACAGCTGTGGTTCCAGGACCCGAACGACTTCAAATTATCCTCAGAGGCGATACAATGTTCAGGGACTTTACCGCCACTACATCATCAACGGAGCTCCATTGGAACTCGTGAGACATTCTATGGCACTCGCTTGTCCCGCCCTGGCTTTGCAGATCTTACTGACAGACAGATGTATACCTCTATGACCGATGGTGGCCATCAAGCTCATGATCATACACCCTTAAGGGGTGTTTATGCATTACCCTATGTACCTCGACATCAGAACAATGATGTTGTACTTCCTGTGCCACCTCAAGGACTTCTTTGCCAGGATTCCACCAATGCTTCGAACTTTTATACCTTGCAGCCAACGGTGGATTTTCCAACAGCTATTCACACGCGTGAGATCGTCATCGATGTGACAGATTTACGACAATTCAATGACAGATCCTTGCTCTTCGATATTAGAAAGGTGACTCAACGACCACTCCACAGTGTTACAGATTCAGGGGCTGTACTTGATCAGGCCACGACGATACAAGACTCTCTCCGAACTCCAACACAGGATCTACTACAGACAACTTCATATAGTGGGGCTGTACCCGTAAACGACCTCTCGCATGCCACAACATTTCAAGGATGGGGCCAGGCCATCTATGTCGGGGGCCATCCTGCGTGGGGACGATGTGAAATCATACACATGGCGCCAAACCCACCTTTTGCAGAGCGATGTGCCGCAGCCACACAAGACAATGGATGGTTGGCCTCTGATGAAGCACTATGGTTCCTGCGTCTACTCCAGACATGGAGGTCCGATATTACCATCGGGCCACTTATTCAGTGGAGCCCAAGCCGAGATCTCCAGCATTTGATGGCAGCAGAAGATCAGCTCCAATGCAATAATGGCTATCTAAATATCCTCCTATTTCTGGTAGAAGCACACTGGTGTGCAGTTGAGGTTGATCGCCGCACTGAACCGGTTCACGTGGTTCTTATTCAGTGGCCCCAGGAACATCATACCTTGGTTATCCTGGAGGTTTCTCGAATTCTGCAGATTCCCACCAACAGAATGCTGGTTACAATCGATACCACTCATGAAGTAGTTACCATGTGCGGATGGACTATTTTGTTCCGATGGTATACCAATTTCGCTATGCAGACATGTCTTCAACCACTAATCCATGCTACGGAACAGACTCAAGCTCGGATCGATAGCGTCTTAAACCGAGCACAACGACACTGGAATCGCACCAATGCACCCAGTTGTCTTCGTAATTTTGCCGAAGAGTGTCGTCGTGCCTTCATGTCCGCCTATGCTCGTGATCAACCCGATACACGACTGCCTGATGTCGTTTCGACGGTTATGTTCGTGGGTCCACAGGAAGAGTATGTCCAAGAAGTTAACCAGGTGCCAAGACCACCCACGCACAGAGAACGGGAGATCAACTGGTTACGTACTATGCTCATCCAGCCTGCCTGGCTCACCAACTTCGAAGT